AGAATGCTTAGGTGCCCTCAAGACCTTTGGCGTCATGAGTAGAGAAGTTTCGTCAGTTTGGATCTATAGCGAATCACAACTGAAAAGTTATGTACAAAATGACCATTTCAGGTTGAACACGCACCATGCGCAGCCATTTGAACGTCACCAGAGTGCAGATTTCAGTAGCCGAGTCCCATGAGACGTGTCCGTGGATGATCTGCTGCTAGGACTTTCCTACACACCAACAGTCAGCATTCTCATGGCAGATCTTAACCTACGACTATATAGTGTACAATGTTCATCTTCGCTAGGCCGAGATGACATGGATCAGAGCATGGCAATGTCTTCATGATTCCTCGATTGTCTTGTAAAGAGGGATAATTTCCTCGATGACGTTTGGTTTAGTGCAAAGCCCATTTTCACCCTGCAGGATATGTCAACTCAAAAAATGCTGTCTATTGGGCACCTCACTCTATGTCTCAATAAGCCACTTCTTAGTGAACATGTACAGTGTATGTGGCTTTAAACACTCATGGTTTAGCAGGTCCTTGCGTTAGGGCGCCACTGAACATTTCGAACGACGCGTCAAAAATGTGTCGAGTCCAAAGGAGGGAATGTGGAGCACTGCTTCTAGGAATTTCAGAAAGAAATCATTAGATTTTTTAAAACTTTGTAAAAGAAATTAAATATTGTTTAAATGTCACAGGGAAGGAAATTAACGTCAAAGAGAAAATCAAGAAAAAAGTCAACTAATCTTTTCACGACTTCCTTTACAAGATTTTGAAACATTGGTGAACTTTGCGTTTTTGGCTGCTTTTTTCTTTTTGCCGTTTCCTTTTTCAAAACATGTTTCTTCTTTGTGGATTTTATATCAAACAAATTCCTTTTGAATGAATTAAGTCTGTTCCAAATTACAGCATTCTAGAACAATTTTTGGGCGAGACATTCAGAAAAAAAGTTGCAAAGTTTTTTTGGGATCCCCCTGTATTTGAACGTCCCCATACAATTTACGTGGAAAGGGGGTGTGATGGAAAGGGGGTGTGATGGAAAGGGGGTGTGATGGAAAGGGGGTGTGATGGAAAGGAGGTGTGATGGAAAGGAGGTGTGATGGAAAGGGGGTGTGATGGGTCTTTTATAATGCTGTTGATCTTTTTTATACTCGTGATCTCATATTTCGTCAGTTGTACTAAAATAGTATCCAGCCATCTTGCTGGCTTTCTTTATGATTGGCTCAAACGTGTGTTTGTCTTGCTCCCTACAGTTTCCAGCCCAGCAGCAAATACGAAACAGCAACAGTTACACGCTTTCGGACATGGAATGGTCAAACAGGGAGATGATCTTTTTATCAACATTAACACTTAATTTCCGTACAAAGAAAACTCTTCGATTTAAACCCAAAACATTTTTTTGTAACAAAATCAGCGTGGGGATGTCAGTCTAGCTTGTTGTCGGTGGTTACTCCAAGGTATTTGTAGCAGTTTACAACCTCCACTTCCTCATCTGTAATAAGTAGTGATTGCGATTGGTCTTTTTGAACGATGACGTAGAATAATATCATGAATCCCTTTGCCTTCTATACAGTCAGGAAAAGGAAAATGGTTATCAGTCCAATTTGTAAATACATTGACAGCGTCCCTGCAGTCATTCTATAGGGCCTTGGTGAGTGGAATCATCCGCAAATGTTATTACATTGTAGTTTGATGTTTTTGTTCTTAAAAGTACAGTCGTTGTTGTAGAGCGTAAACAAGACAGGGGAGATTACATTACTTTGGGTCGCACCGACAACTAGCAGAGAATATTTGCTCACAGCACACACAATCTACTATGTAGTAGAGAATCTTTGCTCACAGCACACACAATCTACTAGTAGACAATCTTTGCTCACAGCACACACAATCTACTATGTAGTAGAGAATCTTTGCTCACAGCACACACAATCTACTAGTAGACAATCTTTGCTCACAGCACACACAATCTACTATGTAGTAGAGAATCTTTGCTCACAGCACACACAATCTACTATGTAGTAGAGAATCTTTGCTCACACCACACACAATCTACTATGTAGTAGAGAATCTTTGCTCACACCACACACAATCTACTATGTAGTAGAGAATCTTTGCTCACACCACACACAATCTACTATGTAGTAGAGAATCTTTGCTCACACCACACACAATCTACTATGTAGTAGAGAATCTTTGCTCACACCACACACAATCTACTATGTAGTAGAGAATCTTTGCTCACAGCACACACAATCTACTATGTAGTAGAGAATCTTTGCTCACAGCACACACAATCTACTATGTAGTAGAGAATCTTTGCTCACAGCACACACAATCTACTAGTAGACAATCCTTGCTCACAGCACACACAATCTACTATGTAGTAGACAATCTTTGCTCACAGCACACACAATCTACTATGTAGTAGAGAATCTTTGCTCACAGCACACACAATCTACTATGTAGTAGAGAATCTTTGCTCACAGCACACACAAACTACTATGTAGTAGAGAATCTTTGCTCACAGCACACACAATCTACTATGTAGTAGAGAATCTTTGCTCACAGCACACACAATCTACTATGTAGTAGAGAATCTTTGCTCACAGCACACACAATCTACTATGTAGTAGAGAATCTTTGCTCACAGCACACACAATCTACTATGTAGTAGAGAATCTTTGCTCACACCACACACAATCTATTCGCAGAGACAAAATGTCAACCACAGTGAATGCACAGCATAGGGGAGTTAACCACGATATTTCTTTTGTAGCGTAATGTTTGCCATTGTTACTTCCCCTTGCCTCTGACCACTCACTGGGATGGACGGCTATGGTTTTTGTTTTAGTAAGAGTTTTACGGCACTTGCAACACAATAAGGTCATAGAAGTGCCGAAGATTAGAGGTGTTACAAGAGAGTTACAAACACAAAAAAGAAGGAGGAGAGATCTGGAAGATAGATGTTTGATAGGACAGAAGGAGAAAAGCACACCAGAGCACCTGCCAACCACCCACGACAGCTATGGACTGTTGTAATTGTCACAAGACATTGCAGAAATCTCCTCTTCTCTGCTACAGCCACTCG